GAAAGGAGTATGACAATCAAGGAGGCCATAAACGCGCCCTACAATTGTAGAGTCGACTGACGATACGGGCCTAAGACCCTCAATGGCACATTTTTGAATTTTACTTTTTGTTATAATAATGATAGGATATGTATTTCATTCATTTCTATAGTTTACTGCAACATAGGCCAACACGTATATTTCTTTTTCTTCACTGATGATAAAGTTATTCGCATTTTCTTCGGGTTCATTGCACATTTTATATTTCGAAAGCAACACCTTCATTAATTTGTGCCGGATAATTAGAATAATAGGACCTAGTGCTTAGGTATGCCGAATTCAGAGACGTATTATTCGTTGTTAGGTATAATCGTTTCTTACAGTTATTCAGAAAGATGTGAAAATAAAATAAGAGTGTGTAGTGTCAAATTATTCGTAAGAGAAAGCCGACGAGCCACCACCTTTCTATTTGAAAAAATCAAGAAAACTGAAAAAATTACTGTTTGCAACTTTTAGAAAATCTTTAAATCGACTGTAAAATCGTGTTGTTCCCGTGTTACTTGATCAAAAATGAAGCGATTTACAGGATCCATGGCATTCTAGATCATAAAATAAAAATTGAAATCAAGAAGACTTTATTTGTCAAATATTGTCAAGTGAGGCGTTGTTGAGTTCAGAATGTCATTCTCGATCGAAATAGGGTGTCCCATTTATAAATCGAAAGTTGGAGTCGTTTCCGGTCAAACCGGAAGTACGTCAAAGCAAGCGAATATGTCAAAAAATGCAAATTCGTCTATAATACGCGAATTCCAAATTTTGTTTTTCTATCTTCAATAATGAAAAGGTTATACTGGTGAGCCACCCTGGAGAATCACCCGGTAGGTTTTTTATGTAATAACCCTGCCGTTTTAAAAATATGTAGGGGAGGCCTTTTTGAAAAGCACTGTGTATCTCTCCATGAGATACGAAATGACTACCAGAGCTTCAAAGACAGGTTTAAACATTTTTAGGTCCGTAGCTGGAATTAATATTTTGGTCCTATTACCCTACATGTCATTAGTCTCCCGTTACGAAACAAAGTTCGTCACGAAGAAGTAATAGTTCGTCTGAAAAATGACAAACCTACCAGGAACATGATCAGAATACTTCTGCAATACTTTGAATATATAAAATGTTCAGAAATATCTATAAATTCTAACGAGACGAATAAAAAATCGATACATACATTATTGTATATTACCCACTTATTGCCGATACTGTACACTTCTAGCATTGAAATTCGCGAATGCTTTCGACATGATCTATTGGGTGTATGGCAACAAACGCTCACATACAAAATATAGAACGACTACATAAAAAGTGTGCAAAAATCTCAAGGTCACAGCGCTGGTATACACGCATGTACACATTCGCAAGCCTATTCGATAGACACAATAATGTTTTAGATCTGATTAGTTTTTCGTTCTGGAGTTGATTATGCAATGTTAGCTTGACGCGGTTCATACACATAGACGTAATAGAAAAGATTATTTTGTGTTTGCATTAGCATTTTTAAATTATTATATCAGTCGGTTTAGGACATAAAATATATTAAATATTATTTTTTGCATAATAGCTGCTTATGTATCTAAGGTATAAAGTGAGGGCTGTTTCGGCGGGTAAACGTACAAACTTTATTTATGACCAGATATTGGGTGAGTTAAAAATCAACAGTAGCCAACAAGCGGGTGTAAAGATAAATAAATGGTCTGAATAGTGCCGCTAGTTGTAGCCGTTGCCTACCAACAAAAATAAATACAGACAGTGTGTGTGTAAAAAGTGGAACTTCTAGAAACCTTTACATGAAGTGTATTTTTGCCCAGGTTGTAGATAAAATCATTATTATTATTATAAAATTGTGAAACATATTAATCAATTCTGATAAACCGCCTTATTTCACGCAAAAGTAAGGGTAGTAATAATTTATGAGCATAAAAAATTAAATTTTCATTGAATTTTTTACTTGCGGTGAGTACGTGATATTTTGTAATATGCAGTTTTCCTACGGAACAATAATTAAAAGCAGCATGAATCTTTTTCATTGCAAAGAGTTATGGTAGCACAAGGCTTATATTTTGATTCATAAAGTAGGTGGTCATTTTGTGTCTTAGAGCATTCTATCGAAGACTGCTAAACTTAAAACGAGGAACAATATAGTTCAGAAGTTGTGCGGTACAAAATGGGGCACTTCGGTTACAACTTTACGAACTTAGGCTCTGGGACTGGTTCACTCAGCTGCTGAATACTGCGCTGCAGCCTTTATTGAATCATCAATTCTATTCCGTCTTACTGGCTACCAGTTCTAAGTCATATTCCACCACCATATATCTGCGTTCATCCGAAGTGCTACTGAGAGAATACATTACAGTTATCCAAGATCACAGGTCCCTATACATAAGATGGAAACCCAAATGACTTCCTCCACGCGTCTCCTGGGTCAATTGAGTATATACAAAATTTGGACATCTGCTTATAGTTGATATATGTGTTAACAAAATTGTAATTTTGTGCTACATCTTTTACATTTGCCTATGAGTACAAGTACAAGGTGCGCCATTCACATGATTTATTATATTTTAATAAAATTATATATATATATATATATATATATATAATTTCAAATTTAGGGGCAGAGAGGGGAGGTGGGGGTGGCGGTAGAGACTTCTGAGAACAAATATCGTTATGACAAGTGGAAGGTGGTATCGACAAGTTAAAATTAGTGAGTCGACCCCCTCAAATCAATTCAACGCTCTCCATTTTTCTTTAGGCTCTTTACCGCCCCCCGTAGGTCCCCAATGACTACAAGGGGTTGTTATAGCCCACTTTGGAAAACACTAACCTAGGTTACTTGGTTAGGCTACGATACTTGTATGGGTATTTTTAAATACAAGGAAATGTAACTGTAAGATGTGTTTTAATACCTTAAGATGTAAAAGGTTTCAGTTACGTTTTAATGCTCTTCAAGTTTCATAGGATCTATCTCAAAGATAATTCAATAGCGTTATTATTTGATGTATAAAATGAAATAGCATTCAATATACAGATTCGTCAATTCTCGAGCCAAATGGTGGATTTATTCCAAATTTTGTAATAACGTTTGAATCCCCAATCCAAACATTCCTATAAATACATTTGTCTGTTTTATGTAAACTAAAATAATATGGGAAACTTCAATCAAAGAATGGCTATCTGAGGACGCGGGTGATTTTATTCAAATATTGAAGAAACATACTTTGGTTACAAATTTAAGTAATTTTACAAATCATGACTCATCACAGGTACTTCTTGGAAAAGAGTTACCACAAGACAGCCAGAGATAGATAAAATGTATCCAAGTGGTAATTCCGATGAAAATTTATTAATTGATTCACTCAACTAGCCACTACATCTAATATGAGAAATTCGAGGCATCACTGAAGAGTATCACGGCTCCACTGATAAAACAAACGAAGCGATTGCACGTTCCGTCGCATAGTTGCTAGTTTGTATAACCTAAAAAATCTTCCACGTAGACGATGAATTACATTTTTGCGCAAATATGTAATGCATTTTGTGATTCCCAATCGGCTTTTAGCACATGGTTTCAAAAGAAGCCACTGTGCACGGTTGGGGACTGCAATAAGTGGGAGCCATCACATATTAGCCAAAGTGACACAATATTTAAAAACCATTTATTAATTGACAAAAGGAGTATAGCAATTGTTAGTGTGGAAGATACTCATGTAATTCCCAAAGTTTTCCACAAATTCTGAAAGGCTAAGTCTCAATCCTGGGGTCAAAAAGTGGTCATTATACATATAGTTATACATTTTGCAAAGAGAAGATTACATTCCGCTTTCATAAGACTTGACTGCCTAGGTCACACCCAGCTTGTGTGATTTTTTTTTGTGGATTTTATATATTAGCTTCCAAACCGCAAAACAATGAAAACTTACGTAAGTCTGGCCTTTAATGATTCGCTCATAGATTTTGTGAAGCAAACCCTTAAATTTTCATGACAGTCTTGAAGTTTAAAATTTTGTGAAATGTTTGTGGAAACTATACTTTCTCCAGTTTTATCTAGTATTCAGTGTTGGAGAAGAACTAATTTCCACAGATCGAGAAAAACTAAACCAGAAAAAAGTTCTACGCCGAAGATGATCCGTCTCACGTTACAGATAGAGCGCAGAAAGCTATCAGACGGTGATTTTGACTACACAATGAATTTTTGAACTGGGCAATTATATTCAACGAAATGATTCAGATATCCACTTTTAATATACCTGTCGCATGGCAACAAAAGAGGCTATTGCATAAGGTTTGGCTGAATGTTTGCAATGTCAATAATATCAACTACGAAACGCTAACGGAGTTTAAGGGCAAATGAACGATCGCCAAATGAATATGTGATGAAACAAGGATAGTATGAAGGTGGCTCATGGAATTTGCAAAACTTCCAACAATCCCAAAAATGCTCAAGCTTTGGCGTATGTATTTTACTAAAAAGCTAGCAAAAACCACCATTACACATTTCTGACAAAAGATAATACCTAGTTTACATGTTTTTAGTTATATTTTTACGGTTCGTGCACAGGCACGTGATTGCCTGTCGTATAATTCGCTTTTTAGTTTTTGATTGATGATTTTTGATGAACGTCGCTAATACAGGAATATTGGAAGTCTCAGTAATTAAACTGAGATACATTTGTATTAAATTTTCAAAGTATTTCTTAATTACTTGTCTAAAAGTTCATTTGCCGAATATGTGGAGCTCTAGTTTGCCGGTTGTTTTTAGAAATAATACTACTCGTAATTGAACTTATTAAGTAAAGGGTATGTATTCAGCATTGGGGGAGGAATGAGTCACCATGAAGCGAGGAATTATATAATAAAAAAAAGTTGTACGCCGATGATATTCCGTCCTGCGTCTCATGTTTGATAGTTTATATAACCGAAAAAATCTTCCACGTAGACAAAATGATGGGTTACCTTTCTGTCATTGATTATGCAATGCGTTTTTGACGCACTATACTCAACGGGTGCGGGTGTAGTCGTGGTAGATTGCAGTGCAGCAATTGATGATGTCCAGCAGCACTCCACTCTGATCGGCACTGTCGCATGTCATCCAAGGGAACTGTCGCGGGGTGCAGAAAGTTTTGAGACGGTGTCGGCGGGCAATATGGCGCGATGTGGTGGATGTCGTGAGTCGCGGGTGTCCGTGTCCGGTGGTGTCCGATAGAACCGCAGAACGCACCGCGTCTAGTCGGAGTGTCTACACTGGCAGACACGTTTGAGAGAACGCCGGCTGCGCCAGCTCTGGTGGCATGAGGAGCGACGCCGCGCCGTCGTTTCCCCCCACCACAGCATCGGTGCAGCGCCGACGCCAAGCGCCGCGACGGCACACAGTGCATTGCGGACGCATTCGCCATCTACTTCCTTCTAGGGCTTTTCTTGCGGTAGGTTCGGGCACTTCCTTCTTACCAACACAGTGGCTGCGGCCAAAGGAGGTTATATGCAGGTGGAAATTGACAGATCCATAGTTTTTTAAAAATAATGTTTAGACTATATCAGAAAGTTGAGCTAGCTTGGCATGATAGGCATTTGACACTATCGATCATGACCTCCTTTGTGCGAAGCCATCATATTATGGTTTTACCGGTTTGTCTTTACAGTTTTCACTCCATCCAATGTCTCTCAAGCAGTTAAAGATATTAATGTGATCTCAATGGAATACTAAATTTCTCCAAGAACAACAATTTGGAATTAAATTCTGCTAATACTTCTGTTATGCTTTTTTGTTCCAACAATAGTCGTGATAACTTACTGTTGGAACTTAATATAAAAATTGGTGGAGTTTCATTGCCATAACTGGATTCAGAAAAAAATTTAGAGTTAACGTTCTATATAGCTCCCTGGGCTTCAATGCATATGTATCCGTTACATGAAAAAAATTGCTACTTCGTTTTGAAACGATTTTACTGCAATACGCATGTTATTACTTTTAATAAACGGAAAAATTATGTGAATCTCTTAACGTTATTAAATAGATTACAAAAGTTCCAAAACAGCTGTTGCAAATTCATCTACAATCGTAAAAAATATGATTCAACGTCTGGGAAAATAATTGAGCTAAAATGGTTAAGAATAGACGGTATGTATATCTATACATCTCAGTTGCTACTATGACACATAAAATAGTAACTTCGCAGACGTCCCCCTTACTTATATAGGAAATTATTGTTTCGCGAAAGAAATGATAAATCAATTTGAAATTCAAAAAACGACTTGAAATTCCATTATACAATACGACGCTATTCCGTCGGTCATTTATGTATAATTCAAGTAAAATATAAAATGACTTAGCTGATAACCTCAAATCACTTTCTATAGCTAACTCTTAAGAGGAGTGTGGAGAAGACGTTTCTTGGTTTTGGTTTTGGTTTTGCCTTGATCTTTCTCTTTTTTTAATTTAGTATGAGATCCATTGTGTTGATTGTTGCGTTGTTAATTTAAGTCATGTATTGTTTTTGTTATCTCAAATCGCTCTAATGTTTTACTCTCTGAGCCTGTTATTTTTTTATTCACTTTACTATTGTAAATTTTCCGAAAAGTTGAGTATAGTAGATGTTTTCTAGACTCCGCCTTTTAAGGAGCATTATATGCATGTAATATATTCCTTAATAAAGACCCATTATTATTAGATTATTATTATTATTATTATTATTATTATTATTCCGAAAAATTACTTAGCTTTATAAAGCACCTTAGAGTCTTACAGTACTGATGACGCATTCGCCATATTTTATACTTATTGTGGAGGGCTTAGATTAGATATAGGTACGAACGTACGTATAACCTTCACAACATATTGGCTGCAAAGAATGTGTAACAGATGGGTCTCTTTGGCCTCATTTATCTCAGAAAGATACCCGTTGAGGCCGATTCTTCAATTCATGGTACATTAAAGTGGGACGTTCACCATATATTTCTTTCTGGTACCATTTCAGAAATGGTTTCGTATACATAGCTACATGGCGGTTGGATAGAACGTAGGGCTTGTCTGGCCAGACTACTCCAAAAATTACTTGTTCAAGCCTTAAAGCATTGCGGTAGTATGCGCGATTTACTTTCTCGTAGGTCGTCGTACTTTAGATGATTGCGCACGATTTCGCTATACATGTACATAGTGGTCTATCTAGACATAACGGAAAATTAGTTTAATGCTTGACATTCATGAAATGGACTTTTCGATGCGCTTCCGTTTGCTCAATGGGGTGAAAATCGCTTGACCTAAAATGTGTATTTGTACGAGAAAATTATGTTTTCAGATGAAGCTCATTTCCACCTTGAAGGCTATGTGAACAAGTAAAATTGCCGCGCATGGAGATCTACACCTTATTTCAGGAGTATCCAACACAGAACAATGTCAGCTAGTTATCTAGTAATATTTCAAAATTCTCAATATCGGCACAGGACACATAATTCTGACGGATCCGTCAACGTCAGGTAGCCAGAGCTGTATTTTGTTTTGGTTTTTTGTAATCTACAGCTCTTTTATTTAGAAAAGTTCATTTGAGTGCAGAAAACAAAACGCTACAAATAAGTTTTACTAGATTTAGACGCGATTTACTATTGCCAACTAACTAAAAAATGTCACTTACTGAACAGCCCTTCATCTCAGTAGACGTTAAAGCGGGCTGAATACTCGTGTAATAGGGTGTAGAGAATCCACGCGTCATCAAGCAAAGAGCTGCCATTTCAGTTAATGACGAGCGTCACCGTGTTATGTTCAAAAAATTTTTGTTTAAAAAAATTGATAACAGTGTTAAGGGCGACATTTGAATACGAAAAGAGCGGCACACTTTACTACGCACTCAACGTACAACCGAACTTTTGGGCACCATTTTCATAACCGAAAAATTAGCTGATTATCTGATGTCACCTCGGAGCTGCGATTTGAACCTGTTAGAATATTTAATTTGGGTAACCTTAAGGATAAATATTATGCTAACCAACCAGATACAGTGTGGAGGCCTTGAAACAAGATTTTGAAGTTTTCATCCATGAAATTCAAGCCCAAACATTCTGAAAATTACTTGAAGGTTGAGAGATTGGACGAGGCACTGCTGGCAGTCATTTTATTGATGTAGTGTTCCGTTCTCAAGTGCCAAGGACGTGCATTTCCAATCAAACCAGGAATTCAAAAAATGTCCATTAATTCTTTTTTGTAGCCAAATCAAATTTTGACATGGACGCGTTTACCACTCTTCTAGGACATTTCTTGCTGTAGCATTTCTTCACAGTGGCTGCAGAGAAAAAGAACCTTTTCGCTGAAAAATATATCATTTATATATTTTGCCAAATGAATACCAAATGAAATGAATAGTCGACTGGGTATTGAAATCGACTCCATTGATTGTTTGGAATGTAATGGTACGACCGTATGGCCACGTCTGCACGTCACTTGCCTATTGAGTTTTCCCATTAGCCACCATGTATTGCTACCCTCCTCTAGTCTCTATTTTAGTCTGCCAGCGGCACATTCGCCAATTACCTCTCTGTTTCTTTTCGATCTTCGGTCAAATGACACATTAGAGAGTATTGCGAACACATACGGTCTTTACTTGCAGTTGTTTCAGGCAGATCTTTCTTGTCAACAGAGTGGCTGTGAGCAATTGTGTCTAAACATGAGGGTTTTTTTTATGACGAACAGGTCAAAACCAATTATTACAGAAAGCCGGTGTTTCAATGTTCGCTTAAGAGTATTGTGGGCTCATTCGCACTTTAGTTTGTTCTAGGAGCTTTCTTCAGGTAGGTTCATTCTCTTCCTACTCACAAATGCGATGGATGACTGTGTACAAATAAAGTTAATTAAACAAGAGGATCTCCTAGCTCCATTTCATTCAACAAATTACTCATTGAAGCCACTTTCTCAATGCAGTTCTTTTTAATTGCACAAAACTGTTTGGATCAGAATCTTCATTCAATCCATTCAATCACAAATTTTAGAGCACCGCTAGCAACGTCTCGATCTCCTAGGGCCTTATAGTCAGTCATTCCTACAGTTATAGGATGCCTTTAGGGACTCCTTGATTTTCATAGTTTTCTATTCTTCCGTGTCAGCGCTCTATTTTTAGGTTATGTAACAAACATCTATTTGCATCAAATTGTTCAGGCTTTTGATTTATATCACCTGTTTTATCAGAATGAAATGTCCTACAATTCAAGAAGAAAACATAACTTCACAATAGTAGAGCGCCGACGCTGACACGGAACAGTGGAAATCTAGAAACACCCCAGTCTTCCTGAGGGAGAGAAAAGACAATGAAAATCAAGGAGGCCATAAAAGCGTCCTCCAATATTGCAGGAACTACTGATGATACGGCCCTAAGTTGGGTGCGAAAATTCACCAAACCCTGCACATTCTTTTTTTTTCGAGATCAGACTTGGCACTTATCAATACCTCACATTTAAGAAATGGTGCCAGTGTGGTACCGCAGGAAGGACCGATCTACAGGGTGTTGCACATCTCGAAACTTCAAATTATTCAATCGGCAGTTTTTCTGTCATATTTTGTCTTTAATTTGCAATCGCCATTGTTCATGTGCTGTGCTGGATCAAAACCCACCGAAATTTGCTTAAACGAAGTGCCCACATTACTCATGTCATTTTTTAGGATATTTAAAAATACGAAGAAAGAAGGGTCCACCCTCAGCACCTTTGTTACGACCGCTCCACTTTGTAGCACCGGGAAGAAACTCATTATGGAGGAAGTAATGACAAATACCTCTTACCTCACTTTTGAAAACTGGTGCCCAAGTGGCACCACTTGAGCATCTTGGTGGTTACCGGGGGTTGCATATCCCGTACGGCCAAACTTGCGATTTTCTCTATTTTGGTGTATTCATAGTGGATCAACCAATGATTTAGAATTTTTCAGTTCCCAGTATATTACCAGTATTACCCAAGTGTTCAGATGCAATCGAGCGCGTCAGAATTGCATGAGATATCTGTCTTTTCCAGCGCATTATCAAAAAAACCTGAAAATATCAAGTCTTGAATGAGGCATGAGGAAGTGACGACCAATACCTTACTTTCAATAAGTGGTTCCGAAAGTCAAGTTATTTTATCCACAGCACCGTATATTCTCTACGGCTCTCAAACAGCTGCAATTATTCTTGTTTTGCATTTGTAGCTGATGAGGGTTGTCGTGGTTCTAGACATTTTTGTATTCATCATTCATACTAGTTCCCAGCCTGCAACAAAATGGAACGGGTGTGATACAAGACTTGATGACGAACGATGTTATCTTAATGTTGACAGGTTTTACAGAAAATACCCTGGAAAAGGTAGACATATAATCCAAATATGGGGAGCTCGACTTTATCTCAAAAATTCTGCAAAATGATTACTCGCATCACCTTGAATA